TGGAAGATTTCCAATGTCACCAAAAGTCGTACAGAAAGTCCGTCTCTTGGACTTTGTTTTACTCAGTACTTTTCCCTTGTTGACCCGCATCATGAGACGGATGTCTGGACTTGGAGTTCGTGGTGTTACCAAATTTAGTAAGATAGCCTGTTTATGGCTACTGCGGGGTCAACGCTGGGGAGTACTGATAACCTTAATTAATAAAACCTGTTACATAACCCTTTATATCCTATACAACACATATACCATCTAATTAACATCACCTGTTATATAATATCCTATATCCTATACAACATATTTCCCATATACAAAAAAATACATTGTGGTTCAAAAGCTTTGGTGAAGTTCTTGAAACCCAAGTCCTCAGCAAATGGCAATGTTCGTAGATCTCTGCATGATGCAATGTTGAAAGGTAACCTTCTGTTTCATGAAATTATTTCACTGACAAAATATCTTTATGAAAATAATAAATTACAAATAGGCTCTCTCCTGACTTCCCTTTACTTTGTGAAGAAATTAAAATGGAGTATAAACCATTTTACCGACTAAATATTCACAAGATACATCACCATTTATCATAACCCTCTTACTCACTCAACTATGTCAGAGGTTCCCAACTTTTCAAGAACCTAGGACCATACTCAACCCTTCTTATCAACTTCCAGGCCCCTGCAGTCAATTCATAGGAACCTCAAGGCAATTTATTAAAAATGTTTGGCAATAAAGTTCACATACTGCTCATACACATTCTTGTAATAAATGTGTTCATTTTTCATTCTCGTTAACCACTGACATTTACATAAATATTACACAGTACATATTTTTTCATCACACAGAGTGATACAGTATTAAAATGTATGTGGGTCCTGCACAAAACATGTTCATAGGCTGCAAACTGTGAATGCCTCAACTATACTATTTCACTGTGAGTTGCATTCATCTTACCTACAGCAAGGAGCAGTGAATTTCTTTGGAACTAGATACATAAGACCAATGTTTAAAATGAACATGCTGTTTCTATTCACATCTTTAATTTCAGAATTTATATTACAATTTTTCCTGCACTCTAGTGATCAGACATGAACAGATACTTAGTTTTCTATGCATTTACTTCGTTACCAGTGCCATTAACATCAACAACATAGGCCAGAAACTTGCATGTCCCATTCAATTCCAACACATTCTGATCTTTAATCAATTAAATAGATTTCCAGGTCAAGAGGTTGGATTCTGTAATATTCATGTAACAGTGGAAACTAAAAGACAATAGGCTGTGTCTTTATCATCACTCCATTATTTTTTCTTGTAGGTACAATGTTTTTAATTTATTTTAGTGCTATACAGGGGACACCATAATTGCCACACAGTGACCAATGTATACTTGTCAGTTCCATGACACTACAGATCACGTACAAGAATTACAAAAAAAATTACAAATAATCTACTGACAGAACATAAATTATTTATTTCCTTGAAAACTGTTGCATGTTCAACTGTCTGCAATAAGTTACACATACCTTGTCCAGTGTAATCTTCATAGCTTGAATTATAGTGTGGTACATAAAATTTGTATATGGTTGTGACATCATAAACTTCTGTAACAAAGAATAATGCCATTACTTATAATAGAGCCGTTACCTGCATAACACAACAACTAAATAGTTATAATTAATAAAATTGTAAAACTTGGAATAAAATACATACATGAGCATTTCAGAAGTAACAATGCCACTGATACTTCCGTCTCTAAATGCTAATACAACACTAAGACCAATATCATAGTGTATCTGTCACATACACATTTTGTTTACTATGTTTTTATTAAATTGTTATTATGTTATGCTACGCTAAGTCATGCTCACATAACCTCAAAGAAAACAAATTACGTATAAACCAACCAGGAATATATATTCCTGTTTATTTTAAGAGGCCCAGATTTCTATTGAAGTTTTAACCCTTAATGAGAGATTACAGATTTACTTTGTTTCATGTATTGTTGTTTACAATTGTTTAATGTGTTCAAATGTGTAAGTAAATTACTGTCTCCTCATTCAAAAGCAGAGCACGTCAGTCAGTCAGGCTTCTCTGACTTTGGACCTCATGACCTGTTAAAACTGAATTTGATACAAAGGGATAACAAAGATGCAGAGTGGCTGATAGAAGGTCAAGATTACCAAGGCCAAAATCCTCAAAGCTTCACAATGCACACTTCACTCTGTCACAAGTCAATTAATATTAGAACAATTAAAGCAGGTTTTACAATATTCACCCTGAGATATGCACACAGAGAAATAGTCTATGAGTTCCAAAACATGAATAGTCAGATGGTAGTAAACTTTTGTGTGGTGTGGTGTGTGAACTGAACCTTGTGGCATTCCATGAATTATGATACCCCATTCTGAATAGGTATTATGATCAGTATGGGGGCTTTTAATTTCTACTTTACACCTTCTATTATTTAGGTAGGATATAAACCATTGTCCTACTATACCTCAGATTCCATAAAATTTCAGTTTCGTTAGTAATATTTCATGGTTTACACAATCAAATGCCTTGGCTAGGACACATGCATTTTATTGTTAAGGGCTCATACAATTTCATTAGTGAAACTAAATGGAACCTTTTCTGTTAAGAGATATTTTCTAAATCCAAATTGTTCCTCTATAAGGATGATGTTTGAGTTTAAGAAATTATTTACTCCCTTGCATATAACATTCTCAAAAAATTTAGAAAATGTTGTCAGCAGTGAAATAGGTCTGTAGTTAGTGATGCAGGATTTTTCACCCTCTTCATATAGTGATTTTACTTCTGAATATTTAAGTCTTTCAGGAATCATTCCTACAGCCACTGAATGATCACAAAGAACTTAATGGAATACTTCAAGAATTACGCAAGATTTAAGTACATTAGATGAAATTCCATCATAACCACAAGAATTTTTTGACTTGAGAGAAGTTATTATACTTTTAATTTCATTTGGTGTAGTAGGAATAAATTAACAATCGGAAATTAATTAGGAATTGCCTTAGCCAAGAACTTCATTGCATCTTCGATTTTTGAGGTTATCGTATCACTGCTGTTCATTCTTTCTGCAATCGTTAAAAAGTAGGTATTAAAATAGTTAGCTATAACTTTAGGATCATTTACCCTATTATTATTAATCATTATTGGTGGGCTTTCAGTGTCTCTATATTATTTGCCAGTTTCCTTTTTACAATTTTCCAAACAGTTTTTACTTTATTTTCAGACTCTACTATCAATTTCACTTCTTCCACTATCTCTTAATGTAGAAAATATTTATGAAACAAAATACAAATACTTCAAATAATGTGATAACACCGAAGGATTTAATTTGCAAGCAATATTTTATAAGTCTTCAACACGAAACTTCATTTAGTTCCATTTACAAGGAGCGGTCAATACATGTGCATGGATAAACTTAAGGCTCCAATGGTTCCACATTTTTGCAAACTTTGCCTAAAACAATCCTAAAAAAACTTTCAAAATAATTAATAACATAGCAATTTTAACACATACATTCAAGTCAACTAAACTCTTGCCATTGGTTACCAACATGGTCCAACTATCGCCGCCAGTTAGTCTTGTAGTAGTTTCACTACCGCTCCAGAGTACAATATACACGTGACGTCACGCTACGCATGAGATTCCAACTTTTTAACAAGAGTTACCAATCTATATCTGTAATGTGTCTGTGGCTGTGGACTTACAGACGGATGGAGGTACCTGCCCTAATTGTAGGATACAAAAAGGCGCCCAACAGCTTGTGTTCGTCCGTCCACATGAAGGAAATCGGGGCCATCGAATGGATTTTCATTCAATTTTATACTGCGTGAGTATTCGGTTCGTTCCACCTGTTTTACGCATTCATGAATTGAAAATCTAAGGGCAATAAAAACGCGAACGCCTAAGAGTTGTTGAGCTATGCCTACACTTAAAAAACGTGTCTACAAATTTATTTTTGCTTCCATTTAAAGATATGTTGTAGTCAATGTATAACGTTTTAAAGCGGGAAGAAACCAAAAGTTTTGTTTCACACAAACTTTTAACTGGCATCAACATGTGTAGATCTATAAATCCAGTTAATTTTCTGCTGAAAAGTAGAATCAAATAACTTTTTCCAAGGGCTTTCTAAGCTGCTGCTAACAAAAAATATTAAATGTGTTCCACTTCCAAACGTGTCAAACTCATAAAACGTTAGTGATAAAAGGTTACATAAATTAACTGATCACTGCTACTCATCTGCTGCAAGTACGCATACGTCGGATACCTCTACACCAGATAATCATCTGCTGCTGCCATTGGATATTGAAACCTGTTGTGTAGACGAATAAAATTATTTTATTGAAACTTAATTTACTTGTCAGAAACATATAGCATTCACCGCGACACTGGTTATGCTTGTATATTTTTTTCAGGTTTAATGTCCGCTAAGCGACTCGAAAGTGGTAAAATAGATGAGTCATTTAGTTCAGGACTTGGCTTTTTTCATCACTCTGCACACTTTTTCACAGCGAAAGGTACTGACATTCTCAGCGTAAACTATTTAACATCGTAGCAGCACTTGCAAAACGTACGCCTGCAGAACAAAACAAAATAGGCGGAGATGGCGAACCCCTGGTGTGGACTTTATGCAACTGCAGTCACTAGGGCCGGCGCAAGGGCACTTGGCGCTCTAAGCAAACATTCTGCCTTGCATCTTTCCATTAAACTCCATAAAATGAATATTATGTATGGAAAAATTGCATTTATAATTTCATATTAAGTTTGCATGATAAAGTTGAATAACGACACCCATACCGAATGCTCGTTTTTAATGTCCTTCACTTTGCACACAATATGCTCTAAAACATATTGAACTCCCTAAAGCAAACAAGTACAAAGGAAAAAGTTACTGAACACAAGACCTGTCGTGCAACTGACGACGATGTCTTATGGTACAATTTGGCTGCACGCGACAGAGACAAGCGACCGAGGCAGGCGACAGAGTTACGAGACAGAGACTGGTCGCTTCCTGTCTGCTCTCTGTACAATCGTATGAAGTACAATTACGAGCGCGAGACAAAGACAGGCGACAGAGACAAAGCACAGGAGACCGCTCTCGGACCAGTAGTGTCTCGCGACGGGCTCAGGCAGCACGTGTGTTGTTGAGTAAAATAATGGCAGGATCATTTACGTGGCAAACTGTTCGTCAGGAAATGCCGATTGCACTGTCGAATTCACTACACACACATCAACCACATGTATACGATATCAATTATTGCAGTCTATGTAATACAAAACCACGAACATTCTATTTCCCGCTACTTCTTTCCCTTTTTATCCATTCACGTTTTACTGCACCACGAATGTTGCCGCAACAGGAAATTGCCCAATTTTTGTTAGTGGTTACGCCGGCTGTGGCCGTCACTAAACTCGACCACAAATAAACTCAATTTAAATCAAAGAATGAAAAATGAGAATTGAAGGCCAATCCAAAATTATCTGTAACATTTTGTTGGTTGTCCTATTTCAGAACATATCTTGAAATATTTTGAGCCTTCTTATTGGTATAGGCTGCCAGTAATTAAACTCCCAATGAAAATTACAATACAATGGATCTAGATCACGGATCATATTTCATTCACAAGCAACGTGAAACTGATAACTTCAGACGCCAACACAGTAGTCTAATTTGAAAGCGGAGATGGCCAGATGAACTCTGGGTATCACGGGACAGTACCACTTTCTTGACTGGAAGTTTGCACAAGCGTTAAAATGTCGACTATTAACACACGATTCACTGGATTCACTTGGAAGGCGAAAGAAAACATGTTCCCGGAGTTACACAAAAGTAAAAAGTAAAGCTGCCCGGGAGGAATACAGGCATCCCTCGTTGTTCATGATCTCACTTTATGCGTTTTCGCTCCAACGCGATTTCAAAACAATAAATAAAAATAAAAACTGGTCTCAATCACCGTGCTCACGTATCCATGACTCAACCATTTTGCGGGCGCCGTAAGCACTCTGTGTTGTAATTAAATTTTCGCAACGTATTACATTGCAGTGTACAATCCCCAATCACGGAAGGCTTCAGCTAAAGTGATTCCACCCCCAACCCCAAAGTCGCAGAGGCTATCAACCAAAGTGATCCCGTCCCTCCTGGGTTTGAATCCCAGGGAACCATCAAAACCAAAATCCTTTTCACGAAGAACAAGTTACCTGACAGGACAACCTCTAATCAGCAGCAACAGACCCCAGTTTGAATAGTCAAGGCTTCCGATGGCGTAAGCTAAACCCAGTTTTAGTTATAAGGCTCTGTTTACCGTTTCCAGCAATGCGTTTCGTACGCAGGAATGGTGTTAACTAGCAAGGTCGATGTCTTGCGTTTGCGCAGGACTCCGCCCTTAGTTAGCTTTTTGGTTGAGTGGTTGGCATCCAGTCACATCAGAACCCTGATGAAATGTCTTGTGATTTCAATTACTTGTTCAACCGTGGATATTGATCATCGAACAAGCCTTTTAGTTGGGATAGTCGTTGGTTAGGAGCGGAGCTAAGTCCGGCTCAAGGAGACTTGAGGTGACATTTTAACTTCCAA